CCTCCACCTCGTTCTGTGGTGGGCTTTGTTACGTCAGCGAGGAAGTGTCAGTTGTGGTTGGAGTTGCAATGGTTCAAAAATGAGAAACATTCCCCTGTAAATGCTGTTCCCTGAGGAGTCTTGGCTGTAACTGTGTTTTACATGGCAACAATATAAGAAATACACACAGATGGATAAATATGCTTTTATTGAAAGATTTGGTCCTCCATTAATGCCTGAAAGATTGACATATGTGAATGAGAACTGACATAGTTTTTTTTTAACTCGTTGTGGTGGTACAGTGGAGGAGTGGTTAAAGCTGTCACCTTTCAGAGAAAAGGTTGCTGGTTCAAGTCCTAACCTAACCAGGAATAACTGAAGCAGGGAGTCATGTCAGAGATCTGGTTGTTTGTTTACAGTATCAAAAAAAGACCCAAGTGTGTTTTTGCGTATATGTATAATATAATTTGTATGTTTGTGTAATATCGGTAAATATCGGTTATCGGCCATAACACCAATAATTATATCGGATATCAATATCGGCTGAAATTTTCATATCGGTGCATCCCTAGTAGAGTTTACATGTTCCCCCAGTGCATGCATGTTTTTTTCTGGTACTACGGTTTCATCTTATAAATGAAAAACATACACGTCAGGTTAACTGGTAACTCCAATCAAACTCGGTGAAGGGTAAATTTGAAGCCTGACCACATCCGAAAATAGCACATTAAAGTAATAATAATAAAATAACTTGTTTTCCAATTTGATTTGCTTTCTCCAAACTGAGCTCTGCAAACATAGTTTTTTTTTAACAAATGAAAGCATTCTCACAGTGAATCACAGTTTCATTTGTTGCTTACAGGATTTTATTACCATTTAGATTCTCATTTATTCTGGAGCAACTGACTGCATCATAATGAAAGTAGCATTGCTTGAAGGAAAGCACATCACATGCCTTGCATGCAAAGTCTTACAAAAAGATGTGTTAGCATTCGTAGTATGTTAGGATGACTCTTGGCTACTTCCACGCTAAATCGTAGCTCAATATTTGTAAAAATGCTTGAATTATAGGGAATTGTGTTTGCTAAGGTTGATTAGCTGCAGTAGTCATTCTAAGTTAGGCTAACTCTAGCTAATGATTCTAGACCTGGTTAGATTAGCTCCGAATATTTGGTGAGACCATTGGATGAGTTAAAACAGTGGACTTTTTTATTGCATATTCAGTGACTACTTGTGGTTTGTGCACATAATTTTATGGCAAGGAGGTTTGTTTTGGATGCAATTTGCCCTTTTGCTAATAGATGTCACCAAATTTAACACACTGCTAGTTTTATGTTACAACAATAAAGGCATGATTAGGTTGGTCCTAGAATGCACATTCTGTGGTTTCTACTTTTGTGTTGACCTGATAACAGCTTGTTGAATGCTTGGTTTGGTAATTTAATCCAGAATATCCATAAAATACAGACATCACAGCTCAGATAAATACCTCAGGACCCTGGGATTTAGGAAAACCTACTTCATATAAGTAAAAAAGTTAAAAAAATGGAAGAAATGATATTAAATCCTCTTTAAAGTGAATCCTTTTGTCATGAGTGTCTAACCTCAAAAGTTCAAGCACTTCCCCTCATTCTGCTGGTTTAACCGCATCACATCACTGCATTTGCTCCTCATCACAATCAAATCAAACATCTGGGCCAGCTTTCACTTTTCCACTCTGGTTTAATGTGCGCCTCTTCTGGGCTTCCACGTGCAGCCACGTTTCCATCCTTCCATCATTTCACACGACTTTCGCTATACGCTCTAATTCCTTCTCTTGTGCAAGTCCAAACAAAAAGCTACAGAGAGGTTCATCATCCTCTTTTTACCCCTCAGAACTCATGTCACCTCATTTTTTGGCATTGAAAACTGAAAAAAAAAAAGTTTTGAAAAAAAAAAAGACATTGCTTCTTTCCACAAAAGGCCCAGAACAGCTTTTGGTATGATGTCAGATGACGTTTTGGAGTTCAGACTTCCATCTGTGTTCTGGAAATGTGCGGTGAACCGACAAACACGAAACTGGATTTATAAGGTGGCAAAAAGCAGAGGATGGAGACATTTTATATGGCTTTAGTTGTTGGAAACAAGTTGCATTGTGGAAAGAAAAGGCACTGAGGTTCCGGCAAATCTGTTGCAGAAAGTAAGAAAAAAAAAGCCTTCAAGACTGTGAGAAAAGTCTAACGTAGAGGAGCTCTGGGAGTTGTTGAGAGAAAGAGTCTGTTTCCTGTCCACATTGTGAAGCAACCAGCAGGTCCTATTGTTTGTTGGTGACGTAGAACCTTCCTGTAGTGAAGGCTCTGCTGATAGCCAAGCCGCCACACTGTACAGTAAGATCTACTTCCATGTATTCAATAAAACCTGAGACAGGCTCAGATGGTTTTCAACCTAGTTCTCTCTTTTTTCAGATATTTCTCTTAAAAAACACTAATAAATCAGTTGTGTTTTAAGTCATTTATGGTTTGTTCTGTTGTTTTTCCATAAAAAAATTCAGAAAAAGAAAACAACCATGTTGTTTTTCTGTTATTAAAAACAGAAAATGTAAAAAAAATATGTAAATAATTATTAAAAAACTGTCAAACTTATTAAAAATCAATGTTTGATTTTTGCTTTCTCAATCCAAACCCTTATTAAAATACATGATTGATGGGCAGCACGACAGCTCAGTGGCACACTGATGCCTCACAACAAGAAGGTCCTAGGTTCGATTCCCAGTTCCACCTGGGGTCTTTCTGTGCATAGTTGGCATGTTCTCCTTGTGCTTGTGTGGGTTTTGTCCGGGTACTCCGGTTACCCCCACAGACACAGAAACGTACAATAGGTTTCCTTCAGGCTCATCCCACCCTTGCAAAAGAGACCTGTGATCTCAATAAATAACAGTAAATAAAAATAAATAAATAAATATGTAGCGATACTGGAAATGACAGAAGTTGTCAAAGAAAAGGAGTTTAGTGACTACCTAAAAAGGGAAACCATTTCTAAACCTATTGGCAATAGCTCCACTTGAACCCTATTCTGGAAAACTTCTAATATGAAAACAATTTTGTTCACAGTAAGATCATCAGCTCTCACTGAGTTACATCGACTCCTCTAAATAACAAACGTAATCATGGTGACAAGCGGAAACATAATGCAGCAATAATTCAGGCCATGATTTCCATTTCTGCCATAAGGTCGCAAATGGTGCACTAAAAATTTTAAAAGTCTTTGCTTTAACCATTAAAATAAATAACAAATAATAAAGGATTAAAAAAACATGGCCAATTTTGTTTTCAATTGTCATTATTCTAATTTAGAAAAAAAAACACCAGATTACAAATGTTTCCTCATCTTATTTTTAAACGGAAGAACCAACCAGAATGAACCGCACACATATTTGTTTTGCTCAATTCACTGTTGCCCGGTTGCTTTTTTCTCTTGTTTTCACTTTCAATAAGCGTCCCTGATTTCTTCCCACTCTTGACTTGAGGACCTCAGTGAAGAGCCCGGAACATGTCACAGGACTAATGGCACAGAGGTAATAGATGGCCCTGTTCTGCCAGATGCGGCGGTAATAATCCTCGGAGCTCTGAACTGGGTCTTCGCAGTGCTTTTGCAGTGCTGTGAGATCCTGAACAGAATCCCCACGGCTTTGGTTTATGAGCAGACTGCGTCCAAAGTCTGGACTGACCCTGCCGGTGCACTTGTCTCCGTCTCTGCTAAAGTCTGCAGCCTCTCCTGCCAATTTATCTTCTCTCTTTACTTTTCTCTTGCCCACCCCACTTTTTAATTTTTTTTTTCTTCCTCAGAAAGGGCCTCGGTYGAATGCCTTTAAAGCTGTTTTTGCGTTTGGCTCCTTCGGAATCTAATTAGGTTTCTATCGTTAAAGCAGCATTGCTCTGAACGTTTGAGGCGTCTTGTCTTTTTAGTGATGGATTTACATTAAAGTTCTGGTA